CAGGAAGAATCTTCAAGAGAGACTGCTCCTTTGAAAAGGTTGAAACAGGTAATATTTTATTTTAAGAATCAGAGTGTGCTTCCTGGAATAGTCTTTATTACCAAAGGAAGGAATTCATATCCATTCCACACAAGAGCGTTCATTCTTTTTAAAATGTTTTACCGTAACACATACCACACACATACATAAAATGATGATCAAATTGGGGAATTCCCTGAAGCATACAGATAATGGCATTTATTTTGGCAAGAATTGTGCAATTCGTTAAGAAACAGATAAGATATGGCATTTATAACAATTTTAATCATAATACGTCTCAACAGAAGCAGGAAATAGATTTTTTTCAGAGTTGACATATGGTTTCATAGTTTCCTGATATCTGGGTCTTGCACATTTCCCATCTGGAAAGCGGACTGGGTCAGTTATGTATGGAAAGGATGATAGCTTATGGCCAGACCACGTTCCCAGGTGAAATAGAAGTCTCCGTTATTGGGTTCTTCCTTACAGACACCAAACAGGCTGGGAAGTTACTGAGAATGGAGGGGGATACAGAGACAGCAAGTCAGACTATGCATAGGACACTGCCTTATGAATTGCCTCTTCAGCAAAATCAACTGTAGCAGGAAGGAATATTGTTACATGAAAGGTAATAAATGAAGTCCATCAGGTAGAAACAAATGCTTCCCAAGATCCTATAATCCAGCTGAGCAGGGAGGAGACACATATGCTCCGCATATACACTGTGTAACTACCACCAAGACTCACGAGGAGTCCATTTCCTCTCTCAGCACCAGAACAGCAAAAGCAAAGATTCCAGGCTGGAGCTAACACACTGTTTTACCTATCAGTGAGAATGGGGAGCTCCAACTAGGGAAAGGTACAAAAAAGGTCCTTTTGAACTTCCTGATTAATCCCAACAAGTACATGAAAACACATGTTTAAATCAACAGGATTATTTCAGTCTTAAAACACAAGGATGCAGGATAATTGGGATAATAATGTCTATTACGTAGGGTAGTTGTAGAGGATTTAACTATATGTTACATGCAGTACACGTAGCATAAAGCACCACACATATTAAGGATGCCCATACCTTGAGATATCTGGAAATTTCTGGTCTTTATGGCTTAAGCAAAGACCCTAGCAGTCTGATAAACTCTTTAAGCGAGAATTCTTGCTGTTTCTTATCTCCTGTCTCTCCGAGACTGACGTAGTAAGGCAGGTCTTGCTTTTTAGACAAATAGGTTTCCGTGAACTAAATTTTATAAAAGCCCAATTTATGGGTTTGCACAGGCATCTTTCCTTCTAAAATTGTCCTGCCTCAATGACATTTTAAACAGCAAGAAAAACCACAGCATTCTCTCTCTCCAAGAATCTTCCCTCACCCCTGGCTATTCTCACCTTTTTCCTTCTTTACCAAAACGGGGGCCGACTCTGGGGGAAGCTGGAGCTCATTTGAGCTTGGCTGGTGGAGGGTGGCAAAGGAGTGGTCCTGGGGGAAGGTGGAAGGAGGATAAGGTAAGAAGCAAATCTCCCCTGGCTACTGCCAGAAAACTAAATTGTTGGATGACAAGCAGTACCACGATGTGACTGATCTGTATGTCAGATGGCAAAGGTCTGGATTTGGTATTCAGAATCATGTTAATGTGTAATACAAGGAAGTGGTAAAAAAAAAAAAAAAAAAAAAAAGTCAAGAGTTAGCTGTATTAGGTGCTCTATCACCCTTTGCTCACCTGCTAGCATATTCAGAAGGATTAGTATATTAGAAAGGGCCACACTTTGGGGTGGGGGTGAGAGTAGTATGTTTTGATCTCAGGGAAGAAAAGTGAGTAGTGCCTGGATTGCTCCAGGGAGCACAGGCTACATGTGAGCAGCACAGCTGGGGATGGCTCAACAGCAAAGGCCCTGCAGGGGCACAACATGATGGACACCAAAACGGTAGGTGAGGAACAGGAGCTTGCCTCCTCTACGGATTAGCCTGGACTCAAGCCCAGTCTCCTTTAACAGCCTTTTATTTTATTTATAAAGGTGTAGCTATGGAGGAGGCAAAGGCTCAGACTCCCCTTCTAGCAGCTTTCTTTGCCTTAGCAAAGAAAAAGAAATAAAGGAACAGTGTCATGCAGAGGTAAATGTCACCAGAGTGAACTCTACTATTCTTGATGAGAGGCCACTCCAACATACACGCAGAACCAAGCAGGCTTGGGGCCCTGGGTTGCTTGGGACATGATAAGCAGTTGATATTCAGGAATACACTCAAGCTTCAGAGTCAGGAAGACCTGGGTTTGTCACTGTACATTGGCAGCAGGACGCTTCGCAAGATGCTTCACATCTCTGATTCAGGCCTTCTTTGTTCATAAATATGCTCATCTCACAGGATGCTTAAAAGACTAAATGAGCAGTTCATAAAGGTCCTAAGACAGCACATATCAATCAGTAGACTCTCATAAATGGTACCTATTCTAAGTTTGCATTTGTATTAGAGGGTATTAAACACAGCAGCATTTTCAAGTTCTAAGTAAGTGGGAAGCCTGTTAGGATAATGAAAAGCAAACTGAATTAAGAGCTGGCTAGAAGCACAGAACGTGAGCGGGTAGGAATCTTAGAGACCATCCAAACTACTCTTTTTGCTTAAATGTGAAGAAACCGCTTGTGTGGCAGTAGAAGGAAAACAAAGAAAAGCTGTCCCCTTAATTTTATTTTTGTCAATATATTTTTTAATTTTATTTTATTGTTGTACTATTTTTGTCAGTATATTTTTAAGATAACTTTCATTTTTACAAAATCACTTAAGGGAAAATTGGAGTTTTTGTTAAAGAAAAACAAACAGATTTTTCAGGCTACTGACCATGAAAGAAGTATCACTGTTCAAAGACAATAAAAAGGTGCTTGTTTTTTATCAGTCTTGCTTAGCAAAGGATCCTCAACTTCTGGCCAATCTCAGCAACAGCAAACACTGTTGACACATACGGAGTGACTCCAACATTGGCGACAACCGTCTGTCTAGCTGGAAGGGAGGAGGGAGGGAAGGAAGGATGGATGGATGGATGAAGGAACAGAGAGTACAGAATCAGGGACCAGGCCATTTCCTATACCTCTCCCCAAAACTCCAAAGGCAATGATTACATAGGGGTGTCAAAACACAATGGGAAGTGAAGAAAGCCAGTGTGAAATTTTTTCCACTTCCAAAAAAGCACACACTTATCTCTCTTGAATAATCCATATAATAACCTTTTCCTAGTATGTGGAAATAGTCTCAAAGGCAGTACTACTCTAAACTGTGCAATTTTCTCATATCAGATTTGTTTTTCTCTATACCTGGCTCCCCAGGAAACCTGAGCATTATTTATATCTGCTTTTCACCTCATTCTTGCCAACTGGCATTCAAACGCAACTCTTATAAAGTGCTCAGAAGTCAATATAATGCAATGGTCTCATAGATATGAACTGGTCATTTTAATTGCTTACAACTACAAAATAAACAATCTCATTTTGCAGTGATTGGGAAGATGAGGATGAGGCAGCTCTATGTTTCCACCAAGGCAGCTAAAGAACATTCACATGAAGGTACAAAGGGAGAGGAAGTGCCAAGAGCCTGGGTAGTATTTGTAAGGTAGATGCTGTACTCGTTATTCTACAGAATACAGACGGCATTGAGTTGACTGGGGATTCACCGGGACACCTTCAGAGAGTAAATAATGTGTTTCAGTATCAGTACCATGGAAGCACCAAATCAGGCTCTATTTTTCCTTTCTCATCAGTTTAAAGAGTTGGACAGAAGTCATTCCCCAAAATACTAAAGAACTCTCCCTGGGGACAATCACTGTACATGAAGAAGGTGTACATATTTTTTTTTCGGGGGGGATATTTATTTTTAAGGCAGCAGGAATAAAGTTCATTGCCCTTCCCAGAGGAGAGAAAGCATTATACAAGGTGGCCACCAAGTCTGGAAAATAGGCAAATCCTTAATAAACTGTCTATTGATGTGACATTACAATGGGTGACAGAATAGTATTATCTATATTTCTAGACTTTATGGTCACCCCACAGAATGCATCTTTGGAATAGAAAAAAATAAAGATTTTGTTTTCCCACAATCATAAAGTTCAGTCTAGGTACAACTAGTGCAATGTTTTCGTCAACCCCACAGGCTCCATTCCCTTTACTATTTATAATATGCTTGGGTCACTTGCAGGAGAAAAATACTGTTAGCATCAATATTTAGCAGCATTTTCAAAATACATTTTTTGTTGTCTTGAATAAAAAGCTAAAATATTCTTTTAGTCTAATAATTTCATATGATTTTATTACTTCTATATATGAGATATGATCTTTCAATATTTATGTGAGTGATATTTCTCATGTTTTTTGAAGATTCCCAGGAGACTTTGGGGATTTTATTTTTTCACAATAAAAGAAAGGAGCAGTGTCAACCCATGAGAGTCAGACCAGCAGCATAAGACTCTCTACATAGCTTAGCTCTTGGTGCATGAAGAGCTCTACATAGTCTCCTAGCTCTCTGCTCTTAGAAAAAGGAATTTGAGAGAGACAAAAGCAACAACCATCAGTATTACTTAATAGCCTAGAAAGGGAGAAAACAGATGTACAAATAATACTGTCTAATAAAAACAGTAAAAGCCAAATCCTTTCATTCCAGGATGTCTGAAAAGGAGATTCTATGGAGCATGTATACTGAAAAGAAAGGGTCACTCCTACCAGAAAAAAATGAATTGTAGACACAGTCACTAAAGACCAGAAAAGCAACCACTGAGAGCATTTGGCTTTAATCCCATTGTCACCAGGAGGGCACACACCAGAGAACCTGGGACAATGCCTGGGCAACAGCCCTTGGCGTTCTCAGGCCTACTGGTGCTGTGGTTCAACAGCCTTTGAGGGGACAGGGAAAACCAGAGACCAACACCATCACGTGTAAAAAGGCTACTAGAGCAACAACATGGCTGTCAAAATTAGCAAGAGCTTGGATTATACACTGTTTGAAATCTAACCTGTACTTGCTTTCTCATGAAGGCTTTGAGACCTGTGCAGAGACATCTTAAACATGTACAGGTGTCTCTCCTTTTGAAAGGCAGAGGACAGCCTCTTCATTAATTCGTTCTACTCATTAGTTTTCACATCTGTTCACCACTTAAACTAGAAAAAACACTGCAAGCTGTATCAGCTAGCTTCTAATTTGGACATGGCACCAATACTTTACACACAACTGAATGAATGACCACATTTTCCTGGTTCTTCCATTGGGCAGGCTCAGTATGCTTCTTTGGACTCAATAGGTGTGATCTTGTTCGAGAAAAGTGTGTAAACATAGGGCCAGATTTTGTTAGTCTCCGTCCCAGAAAACTGGTGGAGCACTCCTCGGCTCCTGAAAGACAAAGTTTAAGTTTTCTTTTAATACATTATTAGGATAGATGAAGATCCTAGGTACAAAGCAAGCATGACCTCATGGTCTAATCACACATCATTAAGTACCAAAACAGCCCCTTTCAAAAGTATAAACACTCCCCTGGATATACCAAAATAAATCCGTAGGTTTTGCAAATTTAGCATGCTTGCCATCATGCTACTTTTTTTCTTCTCTTTAAAACATACCAAAGAATAACATTATAGGAATAATCCCAAATCTGCCTTAATATATACTTTTGAAAAGCAAATCATTAACAAACTTTGCTACTCTAACTCTTTTTACTTACAACAATGGATCATGACACACAGGGTATATCAAAATAATATGATCAGGAACCTCTGCTCTAAAGGTTTGCTAAGTTATTTGGGGCTGCAAGGCCAGAGGAGTCCCTGGTGGTGCAAACAGTTAACGCGCTCAGCTGCTAACTGAAAGGTGGGTGGCTTTGAGTTCACTCAGAGGCACGTTGGAAGAAAGGCCTGGTGATCTACTTCCAAAAAATCATACACTGAAAACCTTTTGGAGCAACTCTACCCTGAAACACATGAGGACGCCATGAGTCTGAGTCAACTCGACAGCAATTTTTTTTTTTTTTAAAGCTAGAACTTGATAATAGTGGAGGCTGCAAATGGCTGTCCTGAATGCAGTCACCATATGGGTTTCGCATGCTGTTAAAATTTTGAATTTGTTGCCAATATAAAAATTAGATTTTTTTTTCTTTCACACAGACAGCCAGATTTCTGCTTCCTTTAATAAAAAAAGAATTATTGGCCATACTGGGCCTGTGTGCCCTGTGGTGATAACTGGCTGGAACAGCATAGGAGCTGCCCAGTTTGACTGTCATTTAACTGCCCAGTTTAAGACATCCCCCACCAGGTCTGACCCACTCATTTCCAATACCTGCCTAGCCCCTGAAGCCATTTGAATTTGCAATTTGTAGTTTATGGTTTTAACTGTTCTTTGTTCAACTCCCTACAAACACATCCAGGCCAAAAGTCCCTTTTAATCTTCTCTCCAAATTAGATATTAACTACGTGAGTGTCAAAATACAAACCATAATGTCAGCCACTTAAAAAGGAAAATGACAATAAGTATTGGTCTAATTTTTACAACCAGAACAGATGGAGATGATCGGGTTTAGTTCCTTATGTTACAATAGTCTGATAAAAGTATTGGACTTCATCTTTCATGTAACACTGCAGCAATTCATCTGCCCCCTGGGGAGATACTGGGCTTTTAGAGTTTATATAGCTTGAAAGAACACTATCCTGCCTCAGCCCAAAAGACTTCTCACCAGGCTCCATGCCTTCCTAGTCGGCCCATCACCATGAAAATGCTGAAGCACACTCACTTGTATAACTCAATGACTGGCTTTGCCACATCCTTGTACTGTCTTAGCCTGGCAGCGACTGCTTCAGGTTTATCATCTTCCTGCTGGACTAACGGTTCACCAGTGATGTCGTCAATTCCCTGAAAATACCAGAGAAAACAGGTTAATATGGCCAACAGTTGAGCCATTCCATAGGTTAACAATTTTCTAGTGCAAAACCATGTATTGACCTTTGATTCCTACCACATGATAAGTTAGGCCTGAGTGAAAATGGTAATGGTGAGGTTAATTGAAAAATAAATAGCACTCTAAACAGTGTGTAAACCTTATTTCATGAGAACTGACATTAAATCTTTATTAACTCCTCAGATCTTTCCAAACGTGTTCCAGTGCTATTGATAAATGGTACTTTTAATTAAGAGCTTAACATTCAATGCCTCCCCCAACAACAAACAACCTTTAGACAATGTCACTCTGGTCCTCTAAATATTCCTAAAAACTTTGTATCAACAAACTGCCAGGCTTTCTAAAGCCTGAGCTCTTTTTTCTTAATTGTGGTATAACCAAATATTTGCAAAAATTTTTACATGTACAATTCAGTGACACTGATTATGTTCATCATATGCCACTATTGTTGTGTGCCATCGAGTCAATTCCAACTGATCGCAAACGTATATGAGAAAGTAAAACTGCCACATAGTGTTTCCTTGGCTGTAATCTTTTCAGGAGCAGATTGCCAGTCTTTTCTCCTGTGGAGCAGCTGGTGGGTTCGAACCACTGACTTTTAAGTTAGCAACTGAGCATTTAACCACTGCTCCACCAGGGCTCCTTATGCCACCATTATGACTTCCTTTCCCAAATTACTCCACTGCCATTAACAGAAACTCAGTGCCCCCGAAGCAATGACTCACCCTTTCCCCCTCGTTCCCAACCCTGATGACCATTAATAAGCTTTGGTCTACACACATTTGCCTATTTCATAAAACCGGGATCATACAATATTTGTCCTTTTGCGACTTATTTCACTTACCATAATGTTTCAATATTCATCCATGTTCATATGATAACATGTATCATAAAGCTTGAGCTCTTAATAGGAAAAATAAAATATCTCCAAGAACCAACTCAATTTACTTAGGAAAACCATCATTAATCTAGGAAAAGACACTTCAGTTCCACCTCTGGCCAGCTTTTGAACTCCATCATCTAGCTTCTCTGAGATTAATCTCACCAGGTTGTTTTACTAAATCAAATGAAAACATTAGTCTATTAAAACAGGCATAACTCGATTACCCATGCTAATCAGAGAGAACTGAGAAACGTAATTATAAACAAAAACAAAAACCTGATTTTCAGTGTATTTTAACCTCCTCAGGAACCATACCTACTCTCAAATAGGAAAAAGGACACATCAGAATTTGGCCTCCCATGTCGATGGCTATTACTCAAGAGGGGAGATAGTCACAAGAAAGAAATCTGTCAAAAGTCAGGCTAGAGCAAAACCAAAACGTTCAGGCAACACAATCAGATAATCAGAAATTGGCTATAAATTTGAAATGCACTAAAATTCTTTGATGAAGTACAGCCAGAATGCTCCTTAGAAAGAAAGATGGCAAGACTACACCTCACATACTTTGGACATATTGTCAGGAGGGATCAGTCCCTGGAGAAGGACATCATGGTTGGTAAAGTAGAGGGTCAGTGAAAGAGAGGAAATCCCTCAACGAGATGGATTGACACAGTGGCTACAAGAGGCTCAAGCATAACAATGATTGTGAGGATGGCGCAGGACAGGGCAGTGTTTCGTACTATTGTACGTGGGGTTGCTAGGAGTTGGAACTGACCGACGGCACCTAACAACCACAACAAAATTCCATTATAGCTCAGGGCCCTGGGTGCATAACTTACACTATGATTCATCGGTGAGTTAATTATCACATGGGTATTCCATGGCTATGACCCTGACACAGCAGCAGAGATGGGGACGGGAAGAAAGCTGTACATCACCTATATTACCTTCTCCTTTGTTTTACTTATAGCCACAAGGCTCAGACGTCATTTCCAGGTTTTGAGAGCACCAGAAAATACAATATAGCTTCCAAAAAGAGGAGAAGGAAGCTGGGGCAACAGCATCCCTCCTTCCTGGGGAGGATGGCCACAGCAGCTGGTAGAGCTGGCCCAGACCAGCACTTTAACTGCTGTCTGAAGAAGTAGCACTGTAGTTCTGGGTGAAAGCAACTCAGTGTGAAGGCTTCTCAAATTTTATAGTATCTTTGCATTTGCAGGTCTGGACAGAGGCAAAATCTGAAGCATTTGTGTTGGACTTCAGCGTTCCCATCTGCATTTTCAGAAAGCCCTTTTCCTCCCAGCTTTTTCCCTGCCCCTATTCTGGCTTCTTGGGAGAGAAAGGAGGAAGGAATCCAATAAAGGAATTCTAGAACTATTTATATTTTTAAAAACAGACTTCAGAAGGAGACTAGTGCTTAACTCAAATGAACAAGTCTTATTGGGACGTTACCAAGACTACAGCACCCAGGAGGAGTTGGAAGTTTGTCCTTAGATCCTTGAAGTAGTCTTCTGTGGTAATTACTGAATCTATCTATATTCAAGTTTAACCTTTCCCATAAAGATTAACCCAATTCAACATAATTGTCACCCTTCCCACATTTGGATGATAACAAGTAATACTATCTACCACCCAGTGATTGGAGTTAAGAATTATCAGACTGAACTAATTCATGTCTTTCCCAGAAAGAACAGTAACTCTTAAAATGAATTTAATTTAAAAAGTTTCTTTAAACGTCTACCTTTATTTGCATTACATTTTAGATGTTACATTTTAAACTTCTTTTTAAGGACCATTTTTTTATTCCTTTAGCCCTCCCCAGTCTCCTTAACTCCCTCAATCATCTCTGACTCTATTCCTTAATTCAGTCCCAGCTCCAGCCATTTTACCAGCCCTTCATCTCTTTACCCCTGTTCTTATAAAGATACAGAGCACATACACACTCACGAACAGATATACATAAAGAGGGGTGGTCAAGGTTTTACAAAAGTGGGATTTTTCTGCAATTTTTTTTTCTCATTCAATAATATACTTACAGGAAATATTTCTCCAGGTCAAACAGTATAGTGCTAATTCATTCTTTTTACTGACTACACAATACTTCAATATGTGGATGTTCTCTAATTTATTTAACTGTTTCCTATAGATGAACAGGAGCCCTGATGGCACAATGGTTAAGAGCTCAGCTGCTAACCAAAAGATTGGCAGTTCAAATCCAAACCCATCAGCTGCTCCTTGGAAGAAACTCTATGGGGCAGTTCTACTCTGTCCTATAGGGTCGCTATGAGTTGGAAATGCCTCGATGGCAATGGGTTTTGTTTTGTTTTCATACAGATGAACACATTTTGTGAAGTTTTGGATTTTATTTTATTTTATTGCCACTACAAACAATACTGAAATAAGCATCACTGAATACAAGATTCTACCTACCAATGCTTTCATTTCCATAGGCTATAACCCAAAAATAGGTTGAATGAAATATTTAAAAATTTTAATGTTCTTTGGTAGGTTGCTTTAGAAGACGACTATTAATACTTTGTATTATCTAATAAAGATAACAGTAACATTTTTCCCAGATCCCCATAAGCAGTATTACAATCTTTTTAATTTTGCCAAGTCCAATGATCCAAAGTGATATTCTATTTCTATGTTAATTTGCGTTCCCTGACTACTAGTGAATTTGAGCATTTAAAATGTTGGCCATGTACATTTGGGCTTTTTGAATAGCCTACTCATATCCTTTACTCATTTTCCAACTGAAATGTTATGCTTTTTTCTTGTCAATTTATGAAAGCATTTTGTATATTCTTACATGTACGTGAGGTGGATTGAAGTCCAGGTTATATACCCTTCCACTAGGAGGGTGAATCCAACGTCGGCTGAGACGATCCTTGAGCGTTTCAAATGGAATGTTCAAAGTGATCACTAGATCCAGCTCACAGATTCTGTCCATGGCCTCAGCCTGTACTAAAGTCCTAGGAAAACCTAAATGCCAAAAACAAAATATGTGAAATGCAAAACATTTCCCAATTTCAGTTAGTCCTTGAAATATTTTCAGTGGCAGAATAATCAAGTCTGCACATATATCACCCAAAAAGAAATTTTAACCAGGGATTTATATCTATCCCTGTAAATTTAACATTAAAAGAAAATATGCTACTTTAGAATTGAGTAAGACTCAAATGGATTAAGGAGTTGTCACATAATAAAAGTAAAAAGTGCTGAAGTAAAAATCACTAGACAGTCCTGGCTCCAACCCCAACTCAGCTCTTAACTACCTGTGTGACTTTGGACAAGTTATATCACCTCTCTGAGCCTCCATTTTCTCTTCTGTTAAAAAAGCAAAGGGACAAAAGTGTATCTTGTGCCATTTTAGCTCTAACAGCTTATGAGTATATTATTCTTTAAAAAAAAAAAAAAATCAAACTCATTGCCATCGAGTTGATTTCTGGCTCATAGTGACCCTACAGGAAAGAGTAGAACTGCCCCATAGGGCTTCCAAGGAGCAGTTGGTGGATTTGAACTGCCGACCTCTTGGTTAGCAGCCAAGCTCTTAACCACTGCACCACCAGAGCTCCATGTTATTCTTAGGCTACCACAAAGTGATACGCACAGAGTATAAATCAACTAAAGCAGGAGCCTTCATCCAGACCTTCAGCTGAATTTGCACTCTTAATCAAGGTGGGCAAGTTTGATCTCAAGAAGATCTGGTGCTTTTAAAACTATTTGGATATTGCAAAACATATATAAATTCTCGCTAGTTTTCAAAATGCGAGAAGAGAATAAAAATTTGGGCTCATGGGTGTGTCTTTTTTCTTCTTTAAGAATATGCTCTGTCTGGTCCTGGACAGAGTGGGAGAAGGATGTAGAACAAAATTCTAACTCACCAAAAAAGACCAGATTTACTGGCCTAACAGGCTGGAGAAACCCCAAGAGTATGGCCCCTGGACACCCTTTTAGCTCAGTGGTGAAGTCACTCCGGAGGTTCACGGTTCAGCCGGGGACTGGACAGCCCCATAAAACAAAACAGGACTAATGAGGCACAGCAGTCCAGGGACAAGGACTAGAAGGCAGGAGTGGACAGGAAAGCTGGTGATAGGGAACTCAAGGTTGAGAAGGGACAGTGTTGACATGTCGTGGGGTTGTAAACCACTGTCATAGGGCAACAGGTGTACTGTTTAATGAGAAACTATTTGTTCTGTAAACCTTCATCTAAGGTAGGAAAAAAAAAGAATTATCTATATGAGATCAAATTGACAATAGCAACTCAAAAGTTTGATGGGAAGCCTAGCAGGCAGTGAGTTAAAGATAATGGTGATGGAATAATTTGGAAAAGGATAGTGAGAATAGCAGCACAACTAGAAGAATGTAATCGACATCACTGAATCGTATTT